AAGAAAAAAGAAGATATTCATTTAAAAATAACCATTAGAATTTGAAATAGTGGGATTATGCATTTAGAAAAGAGAACAAACATCTTTCATCTATAAATGTGGCTTACTCATTTTAGATTGTCTTTTTTCTCTGAGTCTTCCTGAAACTATGAAGTTGCTAACTACCAAGTGAGAATTACGGAGAAAATCCAGTGGGATCGCAAAAGGAAGGAACAAAGCAAAGAACATAGACTTTGGAGTAGAAATTGCAAACTCAAATGCTTTTTGGTCTAGGAAGTAACATAGGCAATTGAAGCCCACGGACTGTGCAATGGTAGGACGTAGTGTGAACTGTGTCTAAAGAGGAATACTGAACTGTGTCTAAAGAGGAATACTGCCACTCGGCCCTTGCTTATTGTTGCCATGTAGAAATATAGTCTCGGATGTTGCCAAAGCTTCTGAACTTCTTAATAGGAAACCAGAAGTCCAGATGTTTGGTGAAATTTTTCAGTTGTTAAATGTTGGCTCAATGTTTAAAATAAAATATGCACGAATCTAGGGCCTCCCCAGTGGCACAGCGGGTTGAGTACCGCGCTGTGAACCTGTCCGCAGCCTCTGAGGTGCCTGCGAGTTCAATTCCCGGTCAGCTTGCGGGAAACCCATACGGGCAGCAGACCTCTTCTGCCCCTTCCACTGCTCCCCTCAGCAGTGTCTTTGGTCCATCTGCCTGTTCTGCTCTCCTCTCTGTCTGGTGAATTCTCTCACCCTCCCAGGCCTCTGACCTGTGCCTCAGTTCTTGTATAAATAAATAAACCTTTTTTAAAAAAAAAAACTTGAAAAAAATATGCACGGTCTATATCTGACCTACAGGTTACCATTTTGTGACAATTTCATTTGGAAAAATGACCTGGATTTATTTATTTGAAGATTTATTTTTATTTATTTATGTATACAAGAACTGGGTTTTAGTGCCTCCCTAGGAGCGCAGGCGGTTGAGCACAGCACTGTGAAGCTATCCGCAGCCTCTGCAGCACCGGTTCAATCCCAGCCAGCTAGGGAGAATCCCACATGGCGAAGCAGACCTCTCCTGTCTCGCCTGCTGTTCCCCTCAGCAGTGTATTTCGTCAGTCTGCCTGTTCTGTTCCCCACTGTCTCTGGTGAATCCTCTCACCCTCCCGCGCATCTGGCCTGTACCCCAGCTCTTGTATAAATTTTTTAAAAAAAGAAAATCTTAAAAAAAAAAAAAAAAGAACTGGGTTATAGGCCAGATTTGGGATGAGAGGATTCACCAGAGACAGTGGGGAGCAGAACAGGCAGATCTGCTGAAATACTCTGCTAAGGAGAACAGCAGGGGAGACAGGAGAGGTCTGCTGCAGCAAGTGGATTAGCTTTCTGGCCATGTGGATTAGCTCCCTGGCCAGGGATTAAACTCAGGCTGCAGGGGCTGGTGATAGCTTGAGAGTGCTGAGACTTTAACCCTACACCACCAGGGACCCCCCCCAAAATGAAAGTTTTACAACTGGTTAAGTAGTATGACCTTGTTATGCTCTTAGTATGCCCAAATTTTGAAATGATTTGGGGGTTGTTTTGAGGATTAAACATTAGTAGATGGAGCAGCTTAGGTGTTTTCCATGGTCAGACTTGTAAGAATAGGAGCTATGTTTCCTGTATCATGAGCCTAACCTCTCTACCCAATGCTTTTCCTTTTGGATTTATGATTCTCAAACTTCAGTGAACAGATCCTTGGGTACTTAAAAATGTAAATTCCCAGCATGTCTGGGTAGAGTTCAGGAAGTTACATTTTAAACAAACTCCCCAGATTATTTGCTTTGAAATATATGGATAAAATAGGTTTCTAAGAAAATTGCCTTAATTACAGGAAGTAGGGTAGTGAGTGGTTCTTTTACTCATCCAAAATATATTTTTGTTCTTAATTAGTACAATGCTGTTTGTTTTTCTTACAGTCTTATCCTTAGCTTAATATACATTGCTTCCTATCTTATTACTTATGGACTTCTTGCTCTAGGTTAATTTGCATAATTAAAATGAAACGTTTATGTACCATGTGATTTCTTTTTTTTTTAAAGGTATTTTTTTTTTTTTATAGAGGCATGTTTTTATTTGTTTGTTTGTTTGTTTGTTTTGTTTATACATGCACTGGGTACAGTCAGAAGCGCGGGAGGGTGAGAGAATTCACCAGAGCCAGAGCGGGGAGCAGAGCAGGCAGAAGGACCGAAGTACACTGCTGAGGGGAGCAGCGGGTGGCAGGAGAGGTCTGCGCGCCATGTGGGACCCTCCTCTGGTGGCCGGGGAGCAGCCGGGGATCGAACCGGCGTCGCAGAGGCCGCGGGCAGCTTCGCAACCCAGCGCTCAACCACTGCGCCACCGGGGAGGCCCACCATGTGATTTCTTAGGCAAGAATGTGGAGTGTCCAAGAAACTCTAAATGGACAATATAGGGCATATAGTGATAGTGATTTCTTGGTAAGTAAAATAGCCCAGTCATTCAGAACTACTTGAATATATAGAAATTCTACTAGTTAGCCAAATACTTTCAAAGCTATATGGAATTATAGACTTTAGAACTGGAAAAGAAAATGTCTAGGGATGACCTGAGATTTCTGGACTTTTAGTAGAGGCTTCAAAGGAAATAAAGGGAGATTTTTGGTAATTTCAGCCTATTTGACTTTTTTAATTTACTCTTCACTCCATATGGATGTCATCATCACAAATTTGAAGTATGTAGAATAGTATCTTACTCTTCCCAATGGTAACAGTAAAATAGCAAACATTTTGACCATGTTGTTTAGGCTAAACTTACTTTCTCAGATGATTTGTACTATATGTTTAATTTGGAGGTATTGCTAAAATTATGCTTCTTTAAGTCATTCTTTTGGCTTGCATTTAATATTTGTATTACATTGCTTCCAAATTCCCTCTTCTCTCATTTTGCTAATGGAATGTTATTTGGGGAGGGTTTTAGGGTAATATTTAGTTTTTGAGCCTGGATAATGGTTTTTCTCCATCTGTAAGTAGAGTGGTTTCATTATCACCAAGTTGTATGTAAAACATTAGAATTCATCACAGCTTCTGTTTTAGAGTGTCTTATTTTAAGGCATTTCTTTTCAAAAATGCAAAATTTGGAAATGAAAGGAAAACAAATTGATTTTATAATTTTCTGAAGCCGTAAGGAGATGACTAGGTTAAAGTTTAACATTTTGTATAGTGATTTGTGACTTACAGAGCATTTCCCATATATTAATCTCTTTTGTATGCTGGTTCTGAAAGTGAATTTATCTCCGTTTTGCAGAGGAGGCGGGTAGACTCAGGCTCTACTGAGTCTCAGGTAACTACTGTTAGTAGTTACCCATGTAGTTAGAAATGATTTTATTACAAAACTGAGACTTTATAGCCCAACTTTTTAAGGTACTACCTAGAAAAATACAGCAAGAAAATAGTAAAAAATGAATTGGGGTAGAGAACAAAGGACAGTTTAAATGAAACTGGAAAGGCTTGTGGGGTTATAGAGTGATCCTGGATTTCAGTATAGTTATGGAAAACTTAGAAAATGCAAGAAGGCACTGGTTAGTTGGGTTATTGCAATAACATAGGACTGGCTACTATCTATCTACTTAACTTACCTCAAGTATTTCTTTTTTTTTTTTTTTTTAAATTTCTAGAGGCATGTCTTATTTATTTATTTATTATTTGTTTGTTTGTTTGGTTTATACATGCACTGGGTACAGTCAGAAGCGCGGGAGGGTGAGAGAATTCACCAGAGCCAGAGCAGGGAGCAGAGCAGGCAGAAGGACCGAAGTACACTGCTGAGGGAAGCAGCGGGCGGCAGGAGAGGTCTGCGCGCCATGTGGGACCCTCCTCCGGTGGCCGGGGAGCAGCCGGGGATCGAACCGGCGCCACAGAGGCTGCGGGCAGCTTCGCAACCCAGCGCTCAACCGCTGCGCCACCGGGGAGGCCCCATACCTCAAGTATTTCTACTCAAATATGTTTCTACTCTTCAAACTTCAGAGTTGAAGTGAACCTTAGAGACCATTAAATCTAATGCCTTTAAACATTTGATGTCTGCTTCACCTTGACTGCTAATGAGTAAACAAGTTGAACAAGCCTGTAATTAATACGAGGCTCAAATATTATAATAACTTACATGTTTTCTTTGCAGTATGAAGACCTGTATGATATAGCCAGTCATAAGTTTTATTTGATAACTTAAATCACCAGTATCTTAGTGTTAATTAGAAAGTGCCATGATAACTATCAAATATTTACACCTGCACAAGTTTGAGACCCCTGTGAACATATTCATTCTTTTTTTAAATTTTATTTATTTTTGTGTAGAAGAACTGGGGTGTAGGCCAGAGGTGTGGGGATGGTGAGAATATTCACCAGAGGCAGAATGGGGAGCAGAACAGGCAGATTTACTGAAACACTCTGCTAAGGGCGGCAGTGAGGGGAGACAGGAGAGGTCTGCTGTGCCTATATGGGCCAGCTCCCTGGCGGGGTATCTAACTCAGATCTGAACTCAGAACTCTGAGGTGATAGCACTGAGATATAATCCCTAGGCCACCAGGGAGGCCCCCTGCACACGTTCATTCTTGAGTCAACAAAAGCTTTGTGGTTAAATGCCTCTCTATCCCAGATACTGTTATTTATTTAGGATATAAACATAAATAAAACTCAGGGCCAAAAAGTATTCCCCAACTGTTTTTTAAAAACTGGGAACCTAGGGCCTCCCCGGTGGCACAGCGGTTGAGCGCTGGGTTACGAAGCTGCCCGTGGCCTCTGCGGCGCCGGTTCGATCCCCGGCTGCTCCCCGGCCACCTGAGGAGGGTCCCACAAGGCGCGCAGACCTCTCCTGCCGCCCGCTGCTCCCCTCAGCAGTGTACTTCGGTCCTTCTGCCTGCTCTGCTCCCCGCTCTGGCTCTGGTGAATTCTCTCACCCTCCCGCCCTTCTGACTGTACCCAGTGCATGTGTAAACAGAACAAACAAAAAACAAATAAATAAAGAAATAAACATGCCTCTAAAAAAAAAAAAACAAAAAAAACTGGGAACCTAGTATTGTTTTCCCATCTCCCTGTAATCCTCATGTTTTGGTATTTTACACTGAAATTGTACTTATTGAACTAGTTTTCCATTTAAAAAATAAATTGACCTTAACATAATGGTTGACTTAAATGTTATGTCGGCATTATATAATGACAAAATATTCTTACCTTGGGTAAAGGTATATATAATTTAGGTGGTTTTTTTTAAAATCTGAAAGTAACTCATGAATCCCTTTTCTTACCTCCCCTAAAACTTGAGTATTTCATGTCACCCCTTGAATAAGATATCCTTTTCAGGCTTATCGTTCTGATTGCTTAATACTTTCTCTAAAGCTTTTTTTTGCCTCTTCTCTGTCCCTGTTTGTTTATTTACTTATTAGGTTGTATAATTAAAATGGAACTATTTTATCCTAGAAAGCCAACTCTGATATTTTGGAAAGATTCTGTGCCCCTAGAACACATCCTATTTGAAAATCAAATCTGGTTATTGTGTAGATCATTAAAGAGGCTATGGCAGGAATTTAACTTTTGTGGTGGTGGAGAATTGAGAGGTAGTATATATCACGTTATAGAAAAAAATGTCTAAGTGATTTTGAAAGTAATCATTGCTTTTATTCTACTGAAGACTGTCAGTTTCAGGAGAAACTTGCAAATAGATGTACCATTTCTTACTCAGGATGTGTTTCAGAAAGTTATATATGATTATTGTCTTTTTTTAATGTGTTTTTTTTTTTAAGATTTATTTATTTATGCATGCAAGAGCTGGGGTACAGGCCAGAGACGCGGGGGGTGAGAGGATTCACCAGAGACAGAGTGGGGAACAGAACAGGCAGACTGACCGAAACATACTGCTGAGGGGAGCAGCAGGCGAGACAGGAGAGGTCTGCTTTGCCATGTGGGTTGCTCCCTGGCTGCCCGGGGATTGAACTCGTGCTGCAGAGGCTGCGTTTTGCTTCATAGTACGGTGCATAACCCCTTGCACCACCAGGGAGGCCCATGATTATTGTCTTAAATGAAATTGCATTTAATTATACTAACATAACTTACAGAGTCCTATTCTGAATAGTTTTGCAAATCAGGATATACATCATCCTAGTTTTGTATTATTTGTGATTTTCACATATGTATTTGAGTGCTTAAAGCAAGAAATAGATTTAAAGATATCAGGTCAGGTTCTTGGCCTTTTTCAGTTTCATGGCCTTTTGGAAGTATTTTTTGTGGCTTTTTGGTGGCTTTATAGTTATTTATGCTTTGTTAGGGCCAGTCTTTTTTTTTTAATCAAATTTTAAGGATTGACCATTCATTTACAAAACTATTACTTGGGGAGTATAGCTTCATATACTTCATCATGTGCACATGCTTAACCCTGGCTCCACCAAAGCTCCAGTGCCAATACACTTACCACATTAGTTCCTCTACCCCGCTTCTGCCCCCATAGCCTCCACATTTTTCAGAGTTGTTAGGGTCAATCTTTAAAAACAGCTTCACATGTTTAAAACTTTTTGAATCACATAAGCATTGACTTCACAAATGTTCTGGTTTTTCTTTTTGTTTTGTTTTGTTTTTGTGGGACCCTCGCCGGCGTCCAGGGAACAAACCAGTGCTGCAGAGGCTGCGGGCAGCCTCGCAGCCCAGCGCTCAACCGCTGCGCCACCAGGGGAGGCCCACAAGTGTTCTATGTTCTTACCCTCCTCATGCTAGAAGTTTAAATTGGTAAGATTCTTGGGTCTGATTATGGGTAATTAGAGTATAGGCTTTTTTGTGCTTGCTGCCATATACCTTCCAACAGTGCCAGATGTAGTACAAATGTAGTAGCAACTCAATAAATATTTGTTAAATGAATCTCAGTAAGGGGAAAGGCAGCAGAGGTAAATTGTGTTTTTACATCTGTTGACTGCCCAATCAATGTTTTTTACTCACTTTGGATGCATCTTCATTTTTAATTTCTGTAGGGAAGTTATATTTTCTGTTTTCTGAAGTGTGGCTGGTTACCAGATTATGGGTGTCCTTTAGTATTTTCTATCCAATTTTTCTATTCCTGCATTTGTCTCAATAACAGGGTGTCTATAGGCAATCAGTGGACTTTCGTATTTGACCTGCTTTCTCTTCAGTTATGATAGAGAATATACCTTCACATGGTATCTTTTTTTTTTTTTTTTAAGGATTTATTTTTATTTATTTATACAAGCACTGGGTACAGTCAGAAGCGCGGGAGGGTGGGAGAATTCACCAGAGCCAGAGCGGAGAGCAGAGCAGGCAGAAGGACCGAAGTACACTGCTGAGGGGAGCAGCGGGCGGCAGGAGAGGTCTGAGCTCCATGTGGGACCCTCCTCTGGTGGCCGGGGAGCAGCCGGGAATCGAACCAGTGCTGCAGAGGCTGCGGGCAGCTTGGCAACCCAGCACTCAACCACTGCGCCACCAGGGAGGCCCCACATGGTATCTTCACGTTTTAGCTAGAGATGCTTAATGAACATTTTATAATTGTAGAAGTAAAACTACCTTTTAAAAGATAGAAAGTATAATTTAATTTAGAAAATACAAACATCAGTTGTTTTTTCCATCACATGAATGCATTGACATTGACAATTTGTAGATTTGGTGTGTTTTTTTCTTTCCCGTAGTGGAATTATAGGCACAGTAACTGTAAATCTTTGGAGAAAAGGACAGTCTCTTTTTTTTTTTTTTTTTTTAAATCCTGGTAGCCTCATCCTGCCTCATTTTTTTTCTTTTTTTAAGATTATGCATACAAGAATTGGGGTACAGGCCAGACGTGCAGGGGGTGAGAGGATTCACCAGCGACAGAGTAGAGAACAGGCAGACTGACTGAAGTACACTGCTGAGGGGAGCAACAGGCGAGACAGGAGAGGTCTGCTGCGCCATGTGGGTAGCTTCCTGGCCAGGGATCGTACTCGTGCTGCAGAGGCTGCTGATAGCTTCACAGTGCTGTGCTTAACCCCTTCTACTACCAGGGAGGCCGGAGGACAGATTCTTTTAAGGAAAGTGTTGTGTTCTGGATGGAGTGATAACCTCCTTTGGGATGGAATAAACAGAAATGTTCTTAATGGATTTTAAGAAACATTTGTCCCCTTTCTTTATAAGAAACTAAGAAATAGAGAACCTGGATTTATAGTTGTTATTTTAAAGAGAAGTTGAGTTTCCAGAGACTATCATGTTAGCACATATTCTACTGCTACCTGCCTTTTGAAGAGTTGTCACTATAAATTGTTATTCAGGTGTTCTACAGTGGTGTTCTTCATGATAGGCTTTATTATTCATCACAAATGAGTACATTAAGAGGGTTTTTTAAAGCTGCAACCTCTGTTTGTATTCTTCAGTATTTTTCCATTGGAATTTTTCCTTGTTCTGAATCCTCTTTGATAATGAAAGAAATTATTTCTTGACCCAGGCAGTAATATAGCCCTCATATTGTTTTGAAAACCAGAGTCACCGCTGAGTGGACTATTTACAAATATGACCGACCTTTTGATGCCACTTTCTTTGGAGTTTCTGACCTTCAAAGCTTCACTTTGTTGTGCAAAAAGATATTGGTGGGTCTGGGACGATTTCATTGAAAGAAAACAAAGGAAAGCTACTTCAAATTTTATTCATTCATAATAGAATTCAAATGCACATAATTTTCTAAGCACTGAAAAATCTAAGGTTATGCTTGAGACTGTGCTTCTTATATTTTTTAGTATGGTCTTTTGAGGTGTTCCCCCAACCCCTTACCCCCCACCCCGGCCCAAATCCTCCTAGAGTTCATTTAATGAAGCGTATGACTTGATCACTGTCTTAGTTGATCTGTCTTTGATGTCATTTCTTTAAGGAAATGTTCCACCTTGGGCCCCGAATACCAGTTTAAAAAAGTGAGTAGTTAAATGAAGTTTGAGGTAGTTCTCTCATTTAAAAATTCCTGCACCCACTACATTATTAAAGAGAAGGTTGTTCATGTTCTCAAGTGGCAGCACAAAAATCTCACACCCTGATCTGACCAGTATGAAAACAACTGCTAGCACAAACTGTCCTTCCTCTGTCCCCAGCTGAAATTGGGGGAGGGACAAAGCCCAATTGTTACTTTACCCCATCCCATCTGCCTGCTAGAAGGCCTATTTCCTACCCTAATGGTTTCTGCCTAACAAATGGTGTTTCTTTTTTACAGCATTATGATCCTGGACTTGTTGTGGTGATGGTAAACTTAGCAGTGGTAATTTTTTATTTTCAGACTGAATTACTCCTTTTGTCATCAGTGCACCAATATGTTAGGCTTACTTTCTCTGTTGTAGCCTTCATCCTTCTGCTTGGTCTTTTTCATTTTCCTTTCCTTTCCTTATGCAACTTGTCTGATCCTTGTTCATTAAAGGGTAATATTAAGAAGGGATGTATCTATGTTAGAACTGCCAAAAAAAAAAAAAATCAGTTAAAACATTAAATTCTAATACTGTCAAAAACTTGATTTCCCTACAATGTAATGGGCACTAGCACTTGCTACTGCAATTTATAAATAAATTTAAACAAACTTTGACTGCCTTAGAAGGCAAAAGTACTAATGCAGAGTTTATAAACAGGGGTTTACAGAGGTAATGAATTTGTACTAAAACTTTCTTGCTTCTTGCAAAACAAATTCTGATAGACCAAAAAAGATGCCAAAACAAAAAAAGTAAATTCCTTTGACATTTCCTTTCAATTCTTTTATTGGACCATTTGTTTTTACCAGTAAATCCCTGATTGAGACGTTATGAAAGTGATATTGCACCTAGGAAGTCATTTTTATAACCTGTCTTTAATTTGGTCCTTTTGCTAAAGATTGCAGTCACTGCTTATTTATTATACCATTGGGCATAAGATAGTAATGCATTTTCATTTTGTTTGACTGGCTGTCTTTGATAGTATCTAAACGAAAGGCTGTATTTTAGAACATTTTCTTTTTTCTAGCATGAAATATTCTTTACTTAAATTTTTCACTGTTTTTTCAGATTATCTCCTTATTGCTAAAAATAATGGGATGTTGGCGATAAGTAGTTAAATTTACTAATTTGTTTTTCGTTACTTTTAAAGACAAAACCAAATCCCACAAATATAGAGCAACTGGATATAAGCCAGTCACTTTGAAAACAGTTTCTCTTTTCTCCAGGACCAAACCTAGTCATGATCATGACTTTTGTTTATCTATTTTTTAATTTGTTTTTAATAAAATCTCAGCGTTAGCCTGACAAAAAGCTCAGCTTTTTAGCCCAAAGGTATAATATATATGTGTGTATAACAACAACAACAGCAGCAACAACAACAACAACAACAAAAAAAACAATTGTTTACACCAGCCTGAGTGAAATGATGAGGGAAGTAAACATTGTGTTTTTTCACTAAAGGTGTACAACGGATAAGGTAAGTCCTCTTTCAGTGGGCTTACATCACAATAAACAGCGCAAGTTGTGATGTAAAACAGCTGTGGTAGTAAAGTGCTTGTCTGCCCCATTTTGCTTTGTTTGGCTGGTTATGAGTGGATTAAATATACATTTTAAAAATTCTCCAGCATAGATTGATTAGTTTAAAGTCAATTTTCTTCGCAACTAGTCCTTTTCACAGCTTACCGATTGCTACAGCCAGTGTTAAATCCACTCTGTTCCTAAGGGCAAGTAACCAACTGTAGGTTTTATTTAAATTCTTCACAGTCCAACTTAATTTTAAAGCATATTTTGAAAATGAAAAAAATATTAAACATACTGACTTTGCAGTTAGAGAGTTGTCCGGCATCATGTTGAAGCTGATTTTTAAATTTAAGCATGTCCAGTTGAGATATTTATTACCAGTTTTAAAAAAAAGTGTGTGTGGGAGGATATCAGTGGACAGTAAAAGTGAAGTAATTCTTGAAGGAAAGTTACTTGGGGGTTTTTAAAAAATGAATTTCTAAAGTTTTTGATTTTCAACCTCCTGGTACCATAGCTTAAAAGTGCTTTGCATTACTTATTAATTTGACTTTGCCACAGTAATCTGGAATTAATTCCCGACTGGAAGGTCACCATGGTGGTTAGTTGGGTTTAAACTGGGAGAAGTAGGTTTGGTCGTAAGCTGTGAGAATGGCTTGTGTTTGGTTCACTGTAGCTTTCTGGTCTCTGCACTCCAAGGCAAGATCTCTAACCACCCAAACCCAATGTGTAAAGTGAGCTGTTGGCTTTGCTTTGCATCTTACCTTGATTATGTGTTCCTGTTACAGGGAGAACAGATCCTATTCCCATTGTTGTCAAGTATGATGTCATGGGCATGGGCCGCATGGAAATGGAGGTAAATTGATCTCATTAGTTCACTTGTTTTATGGTATATTTAAAATTGATATTCACCCCAAATTCAGATGCTAATACAAGAATATATTTATTAGATAAAATAGTTTTAATATCTTTCTTTGGAAATATAAAAATATTTTTTACATCCCCATGTAGTGCTGCCAGGTTGGTGATAAATAATGCCAGATATAAACCCAAACCCTGTATTCCAGTTGGCAGTGTTGCTGAGCTTTAAAAATATTTTCTGTGGTAGACACTTTGCCCCTGTAAAGTTACATATAACTGTCATTTGTGAAACCTGCTTCTCATTGCCTAAAACATTTTCTCAGGGCCTCCCCAGTGGCACAGCGGGTTGAGCACAGGAAGCTGTCCGCAGCCTCTGCACCGCGGGTTCTATTCCCTCATGGCGCGGCAGACCTCTCCTGTAGTGCCCGCTGCTCCCTTCAGCAGTGCTTTCAGTCCGTCTGCCTGTTCTCCTCCCCGCTCCTGTCTCTGGTGTATTCTCCCACCCTCCCGTGCCTCTGGCCTGTACCCCAGCTATTGTATAAATAAATAAATAAATAAATAAATAAATAAAACATTTTCTCCATTAATTCTCCAAAGAGTTAATTTTTAATTCTTTGTTCTCCAAAGAATTAATTTTTAAGTTTTTGGCATTGAACATTGTGTAGAGTTCATTATCATCAACAAATGTGTCAGTTGGGCACCAAGGATTAATGAACTATTTTGAAACTGTTTTCTCTGTGGGGTGACAAGAAAGCAACAGGTAGCTGGGCAAAGTACAATGGTTTTTATTTTCATACAATACTGTAGTATGACTTTAAATAGCTAATTGGGGTTCTTTAGGAATTAAGACTAATAATGTCTATTTTTATTAAGCTTGATTATGCCGAAGATGCTACCGAACGGCGCCGTGTCTTAGAAGTGGAAAAAGAAGACACAGAAGAATTGAGACAGAAATACAAGGTACTTCAATAAAGCCATTCTTGCATGTGTGTGGTGCTCACACTGAAAGAGATGTTCATTTTTGGTGAAAAGGATCTCTGGTGACAGGATGTGTTTGACATTTGGGTAGTAATTAGGATAGTAGATACCAGGTTTCTATTACTTTTACTATTTATTGTCTCTAAAATCTATAGAGGGGCCTCTCCGGTGGCACCACAGGTTGAGCCCTGCGCAGTGAAGCTGTCCGCAGCCTATGCAGCGTGGGTTCAATTCCCGGCTGGCCAGGGAGAAACCCACATGGCACGGCAGACCTCTTGCCTTGCCCGCTGCTCCCCTCAGCAGTATATTTCAGTCAATCTGCCTGTTCTGCTCCCCGCTCTCTCTGGTGAATTCTCTCACCCTCCCGTGCCTCTGCCCTGTACCCCAGTTCTTGTATAAAAATAAATAAATCTTTAAAAAAAAATCTATAGAGATTGTAAGTCTTTGGGAAGATTACATTATTGTTTGAATGTACAGTGTTTGGGACATAGTAGGCAGTAGTAACAGTAAAAAGTTGTTATTCAGGAGTCCTTTGAGAATGGTCCTGTCTCTGTGTCTCACCCATTAGGTATTAGCTTAAAACATTACATTATCAGAAACCTCCCCATACCACCCAATTTATAAGTCCTTCACTATGTCTTATTCTCTTGTGGTACTCTTCTATAATTTATGATTATGAATTTTTGTTTTTTCATTTATTTATAGTTTATACTGGGAAAAAAGAGACTACCTATTTGTATATTGCATCCAGCATAGTGACTGGCACATAAGTACTCGATACATATGAGTTGAATAAATTAATTCTTAAAGTAATGGGAAAAGACAGATTTACTTGGTATACTATTCGAAATATAAACATTTTAAAGAATACATTTTGATTGTTCAAGTAGAATTACAGTATCAAATGAATAGTAAATAATGAAAAGCTTAGTAGCCTCATAAGATTATGCAATATATTTTAAGACCCCTTTCCCTTCCCCAATAAATTATTGGGTTGTCAGGAATATCATGACGCATTTTTGCAACAGATGGTACTAGTTCATTTTTGGAAGTACTAGATTCATTTGCATCTATGCTATTGCTAGTCATTTGACAGTTGACAGTTCTAGCTTCATTCTAAAAGAAATTGAGCTATTTGGTTGCATTTTGGAAATTTTACACCAAGTTGAAGATGGAAGACTAAACTACATTTTTGCCGTATTTTACTGTTTTAATTCCCTAAAGGGAAGCTTGTGAAAAGTTGCATAAAGTTTTCGGTTACAGTGCTCTACAAGAACGTCAGTGCCAATGATGGTTCACAAAATTCTGTGCTGGTGATTTTGATCTCAGTGATGCTCCTGGGTCAGGGATGCCCACCAAGGTAGATGATGACAAAATGAAAGCATTGATCGAGTCAAAACCACATTACTGACACGAGATTGCAAAAACATTAAACATCCATCTTTCAGGTGTTCATGACCACCTGAAAAAGCTGGGATACATAAGCAAGCTCAATATTTGGGTTGCTTGTGAACTCAAAGTTCATTTAATGTGCGTGTAAACATCTGCCATGTGCTCATTAAACGTGAGGAAAACGATCTTTTTTTGAAGCGACTAATAACTGGTAATGAGAGGTGAATTGTTTACAACAATGTAGTACGAAAACAGTCCTCGTCCTGAGGTGATATATTTTTTGAGCTCCTACCGAACAGTCAATTCGAATGTGTACTGTCAGCATTTGGACAGTTTGAACAAATCTATCATCCAGAAATGTCCAGAGCTCATTAATCGTAAAGGCATTGTGTTCTATCATGACAACAGGAGACAACATGCACATTTGATCACCTGTCAAAAATTATTGGAGCTTTGATGGGACTGTTGCCACATCCACCATACTCTGCTGACCTTGGCGCCGTCAGTCTTCCACTTGTTTCTTCTCTGTAAACATGGTATAATGTTCAATTCAGATGAGATTGTAAATCAGCACCTTACTCAGTTTTTCTCTGATGAAGACAGGTCATTTCTTCTATGAATAAGGATTTGTGAAGCTCACTGGCAAAAGGTTATCAAACAAAACAGATAATATATCATTGATTAATCTTTGTTCTTTATATTAATAAATGACCTTTGAAAAACAGAAAAAATACATCATGACTTTTCTGGCAACCCAGTATTACTTACTAGAGCTCTTTGAGTAAGTAGAGCAAGAATTATTTACATCCATTGTACTGATGAGAATACTTATTCAAATTTGGGGTCAACTCTGAATGCTGCTGTTTGTGAAACCCTTTTCCTTTCCTGCAATCACTCTTTTATTATTCTTTTCTTCCTAATCCCTTTGTCATAACAATTCACCAAAAACCTATTCCCATTTCAACATCTTTTCTGTTGTGTAGTGTGGGACTGGGGCAGGCTCAGTGGACTCTGAGAACTGCCAAGTGTTCCTTTTATTGAGATATCTCCCTCTTAGTCTCCTCAACTGTCACTGTCAAACATTAGTTCCCAGCCCTCGTTGTCCCTCAGTCACCTTGCTCTTCTTTCACCTTTCCTTACTCCTAGTAGGAAAGCTGCAAAGAGAATTTAGACCATTAGGTGGGAGAGTTGGGCAAATATTTCCCAAATTATTTTCATAGGTTGAAAAAAATATGAAACGTGAAATTATATAAGTATTTAAAATCTATAAATAATTGTGTTAAAGTATATAATCTCATTCTATAATTTCAAACCTATAAAGTATTTTAAACAATTGCATGTGTAAATATGTAATGTGTGTGTGTATATATATATATATATATATATACACACACACACAAATCTTCATGTATATGTGTGTTTGTGTCTTTTTTATTTGAAAAATACATATAAACACCTGGGTTAATGCTTTCTTTCCCCTGTTGTATTGTGACACTTCTGGAATTGATGAGTATTATGCTAAAAAAAAAAAAAAATCAAAGGCTGAACTAATTCCCCCCCTTGATTGTTTGATTTAGTTGCTCAAAAATCTTTCTTTACTTTTAAGATTCAGTAATTTTACCAAGTTAGTGATTACCACTACTTTCTTAGGGCCATTTTCATTGGCCTTTTAGGTCATTTTCATTGACCATTTTATTTCATTTTTATTACAATATGTTCTTTCAACATGTAGATGCACTTTCTTAGCCTGTATATTTGAAGGATTCTTCCTTTGCTGGGTATTTGTTTTTTCTTTTTTTTTTTTAGAGGCATGTTTTTATTTATTTATTTGTTTGTTTGTTTGTTTATACATGCACTGGGTACAGTCAGAAGCGCGGGAGGATGAGAGAATTCACCAGAGCCAGAGCGGGGAGCAGAGCAGGCAGAAGGAACAAAGCACACTGCTGAGGGGAGCAGCGGGCGGCAGGAGAGGTCTGCGCGCCATGTGGGACCTTCCTCCGGTGGCCGGGGAGCAGCCAGGGATCGAACCGGTGCCTCAGAGGCAGCGGGCAGCTTCGCAACCCAGCGCTCAACCGCTGCGCCACCGGGGAGGCCCTTGTTTTTTGTTTTTTAAAGATTTATTTATTTAGGTAACAAGAGCTGGGGTATAGGTCAGAGGTGTGCGGGGCAGGTGAGAAGATTCACCAGAGACAGAGTGGGGAGCTGAACAGGCAGACTGACTGAAATACACTGCTACGGGGAGCTGCGGGCGAGACAGGAGAGGTCTGCTGCACCATGTGGGTTAGCTCCCTGGTTGGGGCTAGAACTCGTGCTACAGTGGCTGTGAGATAGATTCATAGTGCTGAGACTTAACCCCTTGTGCCACCAGAGCAGCCCTGTTGGGTATTTCTTGATGACCTTTTCTTAGATCTGCCATAATTGGACGGAAGTTTTCTGCTTTCTTTGTGTATATTGTCTGTACTATGCATGCTTTCCCCCATTACTCCAATCCAAGTTCTTTCTAGATCTCAAAAGTTCTTGATGAGTGCTAGAAATGTAGGAATATCACTTCAGATGAACCTTTATTTACAGGAAGTAAGTTCCTGCTATCATTTTCTGAAATCTGTCTACCTCCATCTTTTTTATGTTGCTTACTTGGCTTTGTATGACTTCTGCTACATTTTTCCCAAGTATATGTTCTGTAAGGATCTTAACTTCCCTCACACACTTTTTTTGTTTTCCTTTTCATTCTCCAGATCTTATCATCATTTTGTTTTTATGTGATATCAAGAGAAAAAAGGAAGTTGTTTTCCTATGCTACACTACCATACCAAAAATCTTTGTATTGTTAAATTTTTTTGTTAGTTGCTATGTACGGAAACACGATTTTAAAAATACATGTATTCGGGGGCCTCCCCGGTGGCGCGGTGGTTGAGCGCTGGGTTGCGAAGCTGCCCGTGGCCTCTGCGGTGCCGGTTCGATCCCCGGCTGCTCCCGGCCACCGGAGGAGGGTCCCACATGGTGCGCAGACCTCTCCTGCCGCCCGCTGCTCCCCTCAGCAGTGTACTTCGGTCCTTCTGCCTGCTCTGCTCCCCTCTCTGGCTCTGGTGAATTCTCTCACCCTCCCACACTTCTGACTGTACCCAGTGCTTGTGTGGACAAGGCAGACAGGCGAACAAATAAATAAATAAATAAAACATGCCTCTATAAAAAAAAGGAAAAATTTAAAAAAAATAAAAAATAAAAAAAAAAAAAAAAAAAAAATAAAAATACATGTATTCGGGCCTCCCTAGTGACGCAGAGGTTAAAGTCTCAGCTCTGTCAAGCTTTCACCAGCCACTGTGGCATGAGTTTAATCTCTCAGCCTGAGAGCTGACCCCCCTGGCATAGCAAACCAATTCTGTCTCGCCTGCTGCTCCCCTCAGCAGTGTATTTCAGTAGGTCTGCCTGTTCTGCTCTCCGGTCTGTCTCTGGTGAATCCTCTCACCCCTACACCTCTGGCCTGGACCCAGTTCTTATATGCATAAATAAAATCTTTTTTAAAAATAAATAAAAATAAAAATACATATATATTCATCATCTTTCCATTATTGGCATTAATAGGTTATCTGAAGAGTGCTGGTTTTCTACATAGTATCCATGTGAATAATGGTATTTCATTGTTATTCTTTCCAGTTGAATAAAATCTTTCCCTCTTGCTCTCTTATAGTTCCGTTTCTCTTTTGCTTTTCTTTTCTCCCTCACTCTGCTGGTTAGATCCTTTAGTCCAGTACTGAGTTTCAGCAGTGATAGTGGACACACTTAATCTTATTCTCAGAATACTTAGAATGTATGCTGTGTGAGTTTTTTTAATAGGTCCTTTATCAGGTTAAGGAAGGTTTTTTGAGGGTTTTTTTTTTTTTTTAAGAATTATTTTTATTTATGCATATAAGAACTGGGTTGTGGACCAGAGGTGTGAGGTGGGGGTGTGAGAGGGTTTAACAGAGAGAGAGTGGGGAGCAGAACAGGCGGATTGACTGAAATACACTGCTGAGGGGAGCAGCATGGTCTGCTGTACCATGTGGGTTAGCTACCAGGCCAGGGATCGAACTCATGCTGCAGTGGCTGGTGATAGCTTGATAGATTAACTCCTATGCCACCAGGGAGGCCTGTGGGTTTGAGTTATTTATGTTTGATTAAATTTTAGCAAACTGTCAAGATGTTGATAAACTTTAAGTGGTAAATTATACTAATTGATATTTTCATCTAATATCAACCTTGCTTTTATGAGCTTAGGATCACTTTGGATATTGATTATCTGTTTTATTCATTGCTAGATTTAAATTGCTTATATTTTGTTTAGGACCTGAAGCTGTTTATGAGTGAGAGTAGCCTGCCACATATCCCTTGTTATGTTCTTGGCAGATTTTGATATCAAGATTGTAGTAGCCTTATAAAATGAGCTGGGAATTATTTCTCATTTCAGCTCTACAGTACTTTGAACACATTGAAATTATTTTTTCTTTTCACGTCTATTTAATAATGTCTAAACTTACTAATAAAGGCACCAAAGCCTATTAAAACAATAATGAGAGAAAATTTACACCAACTTAAATTGACAAAAATAAAATGGAATTATTTTTTATTGAAGACCTTTAAAATTTCCTCGATTCGTGTTAGTGTTTTCTTTGTTGCACCTAATAAAATATATATTGATTACTCTCAGATGCATGGAACTGAGTTAATCATGGTCCCTGGTGTTTTAAATACTACTACAATTTTTTTTTTAAGTGCAACAAAGAAAACACTGCCATCTTACTTTGTCCTCTTTTTGTTCTCACCCCCAGTCTTTTCCTCTTTATTCCTGCGTTCTTTTGTGTTGATAATTCTTACATTTCTTTCCCCTCTTCATTAAACTGGGAATAATGTATGGTTTCTGTTATTTTATAGTTACCTAGAAATTTTTTCTAAGGTACAAATGACCACATTTTACTTTATCTCCCTCATGAGCAGTATAACATTTTGGAGTGTTTTGATTCCATTTTATTAACTCTTCTGTCTTGCGTACGTAATAGTGGGGTAAAATTAAAAACTTGTTGATTTTATGGGGAAGATGCAGTATAAATAAACAAAAAAGAATAGATGATCTAAATGGAATGATTTCAGTTTAGAGCATCTGAAGTTGCAGTGCTTAGTGTACATTCAGTACACCAGAATATTCAAATCTGGAATATATTGGAGGCGGGGGTTTGAGGATTGGTGCCAGCAAGGGATAAAAGGTGGGAAGGTGTCAGCCTATTGATGATTTTAAAGTTATAGGAATGGATTAAGTCACCCAGGGAAAAAGGAAAAAATGCAGTATCAGAGATGAATAATTCTTTCAGTAGTTTAATCTGCAGACTGGACTGACTGAATTAAAGATAGAATCAATAATTTGAAGGGGAAAAAAGACAAAACTAGCAGGCAAACTAAATCACTAAGCAGGAGGAAGAGGGAAAGAGATTAAAATGGGAGGGAAGAGCACAAGAGACTGTGGTGATGGTTCACAGATGACTTGGTATTGGGAATTTTATAGGGACTACACCTGAGAGGAGAAATCATACATTGTACAAAAAGGAATAATGATGTAAAATATAAATAAATAAAATTTAACAAAACAAAAAAACTTTGTAATAATTTGAAGATAAGTTGGTGTAAACTTTCTAACTGAAATTGAAAGGAAAGTGAAAAAACAGAATGTTTTGAATTCCACACAATAATCAGAGTCTAATACACATGTATTGCTAAAGTCCCAATAGGAGACAGAAATGGATGGATTCTAAGAAATGATGGCTGAGAACTTTCCAAAATTAATTAAAATGTAGTTGTTGGGCTTATTTCTCTTTTTTCCTTCAGTGAGTCTTAAAATAATGACATTTTATGTAAAATGTAGAGTTTAAAGTGGTTTTAGGCAAATAATATCGTAGGAAGAAGTAAATTTGGTTTCTAGAGAACTTAGACTGCAAAAAACTCCTAGATGAAGTCCCCAATTAAAAGATCATAATTGTAATTGCTCATTTTTGTAGTTTCATTTTATTTTAAACATTTTGTTATCTTATTCTGTAGCAATTATTCCAATATCTGAGATCTTTGGGACCTAAATTTATTGCTTATTTCCTGTGACTTGTCTTAGGATAAATTTATTTCCTTTTGTGTATGTAGTTATCTTTGTGACTCATTCTGTTGATCTTAACCTAGGAAAGTTTTTAGGCCCAAAAGTGAATGTGTTTTTTGAGAGTACTTTTTTATTCCTTCTGCCAAGACCCATGATCTCTCCAGTCCACTTTCAGGTTCTTGTTGAATGAGACTTCTCAGATTTAGCTCTCCCACCATTTTTAAGCTCTGTTGGCATCCACATATCCTAAAGAAAGCCCTTTATAGCTCTGGTTTCAGAATCAGATTATAGTTGATTTTTGTTCAAAATGTTTATTTTGTTTTTTTCTTTGTGCCTTTTGGGGATTTGCTTTATTTCTATGGCTTCTACAATGCAATAAAAATTGTGTTTTATGTATCTAGTTGGTTGTTTTCCTTAGCCTACTTGGTGGTAGGAGTAGGAGATGCCACAGTTACCTAATCCATCATAACTAAAATTAGACTCTTTTTGAATATTATTTAATTTGAGGACAACTATTAGTACAACCACACACAAATTACCTCACCAAATTTCCACTTATGTTTCATCCAGCCTTTACTGGTTGAAATGCTATAAAAAGCCCTTTTTTCTTTCTTCAGGTTAGACAGCTTCTTCACGACATTAAACTTAAAGTTCTGTCAAGTCCATTTTTTATTTGTATTTTATGTTTCTCACAGGATTATGTTGACAAAGAGAAGGCAATTGCCAAAGCATTAGAAGACCTCAGAGCCAACTTTTACTGTGAACTCTGTGATAAGCAGTATCAGAAACATCAGGAATTTGACAACCATATCAACTCTTATGATCATGCACACAAGCAGGTGAGAAATTGCTAACAAGGAAAAAGACACTTAAGTTGTCATTATAACTATTGACTTTCATGTGTATACCAAAATAGTATTGACTATAGTTTCTTATACCTATCAGTTGTTTTTTTTTTGCAGATAACATCTGACTGACTTGATTTTTTTCAGTAACAGAAGGCTGGACATAGACCTTCCCCTTCCAAGATTATATGTAGAGTGAAGAATTGTGAGCTTCATAAAACTTAAAGTTTTTGGCCTTGAGTGATTTTAAATTTATATTTAAGTTGGTAATTCAGCTGAGGATTACTGGGGACTTTGTTTTACTCACTCCCTCTTTCTGAATTCATGTTAATCGCAGAACAGTTATGTTGCACTGTGTAGTCTTCATCTTCTGCATTAAGAGTTCATGCTTTACTGGCTAGTATTTCCTATTAGAAATCATTCTGTTATTCAGTATTTCTTGGAAGGTAGCTAAATCTTAAGAAGGAAAATAAAATTAGATCTCACCTCAACTGTAACAAAAACTGATGGCGCATGTTGAAGAGTTTGTTGAAAATTTAATTATGCTTTGCTTGTATTCTTTTTTTCCTACCATTGATTTATAGTAGAAACTTGCTCCTGACTAGTTACTAGCATTAAGAAAGTGGTAATAATTCCCTTGGGAATTTTAGAAGGAGGAAATTAGTCTTTAAATCTGTAGAACAGTTCTCGCTTATTAAAGAATTTTGAACCATTTGATCTTGAGTAACTTAGCAGAATTTTCTAGGCCTTTGGGGGTACAGTAGTTGGATTTGTTAAACTTTTGAGACTTAGGAGCATTGCTGGAATATTCTTTTGAGCTGGACCTGTTGAACCAATAATATTTTTAACCATTCATCTTCTAACCAGCCGTGAGATTTCAGTGAAATCTTTCAGTAAAACTTTGACTAAGTTTTACTTTTACTAACCAGCAGCTTGTAAGCTATTGAGTTTGCAACAACCTTTTCCATATTTACCCACACCTATCCAGTTTAAGATTATTCCACTGATAGTTTTCAAGACAACACTTTAAATTTTTTTATACTTTTGGACATTGTTTTAATATATTGTCAGCTCTGCTTGGTTTGAAGAAGAGAAATTTAGAAAACATATGGACAAGATAGATTGGCAATTTCCTGCAAAGAATCATCTGTCAAGAAAGAAGACTACTACAGTGAATACTGCTTAACCAGTAACTTTTCCAGTTTTTCAGTGTGTATATAATTCAGATTTTCATGTTAAAGATTAACAAAAACATTTAGCATCTAAATGCATAGCGACCTTTATGAGCTCTTAAAAACTACTTCAACTACTGTCTCTGATAAATTTTTAAAATCATGAGGAAACTTTAGGCACCAAAAGAACGTTTAGAAAGGTTACATTTTTAGGTGATGGAATGACTTTTGAATAAAGTACAGGAAAAGTATAATTCAAGCTTGAATAATTTATTGATTTGCCTTTTAAGGGGGAGGGAAACCTGTCAAGCAAAATAGATTAAAAAATCTGATCAAAAGTATAGGCCTGATAAAATTCATATTGACATTAATGTGATGAGTGATAATGTTTTAGTCATGTTGCTCTTAATTTGAGAGTAAAAGAACATTTTGTTACACCTCTGGTTCATTTGAACTTGATATGTTTACTTCCCTCTGTCCCTGTGTTAACTGAGTTCTTTCACTGCTTTTCTCTATTGCTGTGAGTGGTTTTCTGCCTGGGTAGATTTTGTACTCCAGGTGACACTTGGCAATGTCTGGAGACATTTTTTGGTTATCTCGTCTAGGAGAATGGGGCTACTGGTGTCTATCTAGTGATTGGAGGCCAAGAGTTATGCTAATCATCCTGCAATGCATAAGAAAGCTCCTTGTAACAAAGGATTACCTGGTTCAGGTAATTCTGAGATTAAGAAACCTGGTTATATTGGGATTATTGCAAAATTTTCAAATATGAATGGTGTTGTGATGTCATTTGACTTTTGGTTGATACAAATCACTACCATTTTAAGTCTACAGCTATGTTGTAAACATTACCAACTGCTCATTTAGATGATCCCAAATATTTATTTCTCTTTTTAGATTCCATCAAAATGGAAATACAAAATTAAGGACATTTATAGAGAACTCAAGTTTGATAACTGTTAATGTAGAACATATCTGTGATCCTTGGTTTGGGAAAAAGCCATTAGCTGTTAAGATTAATGAATGCATGTGAGCTAATTTCTTCACTTTGGTCAAAAGCCCATCGTAGTTTTTTTTTTTATTATTATTATGTTTGTTTGTTTGTTTGTACAAGCACTGGGTACAGTCAGAAGCGCGGGAGGGTGAGAGAATTCACCAGAGCCAGAGTGGGGAGCAGAGCAGGCAGAAGGACCGAGGTACACTGCTGAGGGGAGCAGCGGGCGGCAGGAGAGGTCTGCGTGCCATGTGGGACCCTCCTCCGGTGGCCGGGAGCAGCCAGGGATTGAACCGGCACCACAGAGGCCGCGGGCAGCTTCGCAACCCAGAGCTCAACCGCTGCGCCACCGGGGAGGCCCCCCATCGTAGTTATTAAAAAAAAAAACAACTAATGTATGAGTTTGTTATTTTTGGTGACATGTCTTTTATTTGGTTGAAGTATAGCTTTTTCATCTTTCTTTATACTGCTGTCTTAATGCAAATGGTAGAATCTTGAAAGAGAATACTAAAAATATACTTTTAAGGGGGCTTCCCTGGTAGCGCAAGAGGTTAAGTCTGCAGCCAATGCATTATGAGTTTGATCCCCAGCTAGGGGAATCCACATGGCACAGCAGACCTCTCCTGTCTTTCCTGCTGCTCCCCTCAACAGTGTATTTCAGTAATCCACCTGTTATGTTCCCCATTCTATCTCTGGTGAGTCCTCTCACCCTCTCCCGCCACCTCTGGCCTGTACCCCAGTTCTTGCATGCATAAATAAATCTTTAAAAAATATATATATATATGGGCCTCCCCGGTGGCACAGCGGTTGAGTGCTGGGTTGCGAAGCTGCCCACAGCCTCTGCAGCACTGGTTCGATCCCAGGCTGCTCCCTGGCCACCGGGGGAGGGTCCCACATGGCGCGCAGACCTCTCCTGCCGCCCGCTGCTCCCCTCAGCAGTGTGCTTTGTTCCTTCTGCCTGCTCTGCTCCCCGCTCCGGCTCTGGTGAGTTTTCTCACCCTCCCGCACTTCTGACTGTACCCAGTGCTTGTATAAATAAATAAATAAATGAATGAATGAGTGAATGAATGAATAAATAAATAAAATCTTATGAAAAAAAAATATATACTTAAAAAAAAATACACAGTCTAAATCTTTATAATTCAACCTTCCCTGCAATTAGAATTTCTAAGGAACATTAATTGACCTTGGTACAATACTAAACAACCCCTTAGAAAGAGGTTATTTAGGTCCTATTTTTCATTCCTCTTTGATGGATATGGACTTACCATACAAATGGACCTACCATTTTCCAAATTCATGTTCTAAAATCATAAAGACACCCTGTCTTGTCTTCCAGGAAGGCACACAGGATTATTATGAATCTGAGATAATAGGTAAGTACGTTCAAGCCTATTTTAGTAATCCCTAGTTTGCATCTTCCATCAAATTTTCATCATTTAAATTTCCCGGAGAGGGTCCTCCCTGGTGGTGCAAGGGGTTAAGCACCACACTATGAAGCAATCCGCAGCCTCTGTAGCACGAGTTCGATCCCTGGCTGGCCAGGGAGCAACCCACATGGCGAGGCAGACCTCTCCTGTCTTGCCCGCTGCTCCCCTCAGCAGAGTATTTCAGTCAGTCTGCCTGTTCTGTTCTCCACTCTATCTCTGGTGAATCCTCTCACCCTGCCATCTCTGGCCTGTACCCCAGCTCTTGTAAGCATAAATAAATAAATCTTTAAACTTTTTTTTTTTTTTTTAAATAGAGGCATGTTATTTATTTATTTATTTGTTTGTTTGTTTATTTTGTTTATACATGCACTGGGTACAGTCAGAAGCGCGGGAGGGTGCGAGAATTCACCAGAGCCAGAGCGGGGAGCAGAGCAGGCAGAAGGACCGAAGTACACTGCTGAGGGGAGCAGCGGGCAGCAGGAGAGGTCTGCGCGCCATGTGGGACCCTCCTCCGGTGGCCGGGAGCAGCCAGGGATTGAACCGGCGCCGCAGAGGCTGCGGGCAGCCTCGCAACCCAGCGTTCAACCGCTGCGCCACTGGGGAGGCCCATAAATAAATAAATCTTTAAAAAAAAATTCCCAGGACTTCCCCTGGTGGCGCAGCGGTTGAGCGCTGGGCTGCGAAGCTACCTGCAACCTCTGCAGCGCTGATTCAATCCCCGGCCACTGGCGAGGGTCCCACATGGTGCAGCAGACCTCTCCTGCCGCCCGCTGCTCCCCTCAGCAGTGTATTTCATCGTTCTGCCTGTTCTGCTCCCTGCTCTGGCTCTGGTGAATTCTCTCACCCTCCCGTGCTTTTGACTGTACCCAATGCTTGTATAAATAAATAAATAAATATTAAAAAGAAAAAGAAAATTGTTTAAAAAAAAAATTTCCAGAGAAATAATCTATAATGTTAGTGATAATCACTAGTTTTGGCAGGATCCTAAACATACCCTGATCTTTTTTTTTTTTAGAGGCATGTTTTGTTTGTTTGTTTGTTTGTTTTGTTTATACATGCACTGGGTAGCTCGGGAGGGTGAGAGAATTCACCAGAGCCAGAGCGGGAAGCAGAGCAGGCAGAAGGACCGAAGTACACTGCTGAGGGGAGCAGCGGGCGGCAGGAGAGGTCTGCGCGCCTTGCGGGACCCTCCTCCGGTGGCCGGGGAGCAGCCGGGGATCGAACAGGCGCCGCAGAGGCCGCAGGCAGCTTCACAACCCAGCGCTCAACCGCTGTGCCACCGGGGAGGCCCAACATACCCTTATCTTAATTAAACACAATCTTTTAAGAAGGGGCTACATGGTCACCGTCATTAGTGATGATTTTCTTTTTTTTAATTTGGTGTTATTACGTGCCTCA